TTGCTGCTGCAGCTGTTGCTGCTGCAGCTGTTGCTGCTGCAGCTGTTGCTGCTCCTATCGCTACTTCTAAGATAATGAAAAAATAATAAAACAAACGAACTAACGAACGAACAAACAAAAAACGCAAATAACATTCTAATCAAATTAAGAACTAGATCTATACTTTCTAAATGTATTTTCCCCTCTCATTTGCTATTTAGCATGCACATTCAATTACTATTATTCGTATGTGTGTCATTGTGAAATTTTTATCCTATCTACCTAAAACTAACTTACTGGGCACCGATAGTTGGAGAGCATCTACCACAAGTGGCAGGTCCGTCTTCTTTACTTTTTCTCTGTCGTTTCTATCAGTCCGTCTTACTTTCCCCCGCACTAAATGTCCATTGTTATGTCGTTGTACTTCTCTTGGCTCAAACAAACAAACAAACAAACAAACAAATAAACAAACAAACAAACAAACAAACAAACAAACATTTTTAAACTCTGCTACGATATGGTGGTTGGCGGGTGCTCTGGTGTGGTTTGCTCCTTCTTTCCTATCAAACATCTATCGTCCTTATCACCCCTTCTTCTTTTTTATGTTTGTTACTCTCTTGTAACACCTCTAATCTTCTGGCGCTCATATGACCTTATGCAGTTGCGAGTGCCGTAAAACTTCTACTAAAACTTATCTAAAACAAACAAACAAACAAACAAACACACTAACAAGCGAAAAATAAAAGCACAAAACCACCGTGAAATGAATACTCAAAAGGCATTCCCTCACCAACAAAGCTTTGTCCTGTTCTCGAACTCCAGCCCTCATCAACCTCGATCCAGTTTCAACCCTCGACGTCCCTCGAGCGTGCTCTCGCCTCTTACGCTGTGTGAGCTTCGATGCTCCTGCAGTGACGTCACTCGCCTCGGTGACGGAGACACAGCTTCTGAACCAGACGTGCAGGTGAGTTGACAGTGACAGTATCTTCTTCTTCTTCTTCTTCTTCTTCTTCTTCTTCTTCTTCTTCTTCTTCTTCTTCTTCTTCTTCTTCTTCTTCTTCTTCTTCTTCTTCTT